TCATTCTATATTCATGTATATATTGCCACCTAAAACATTTACCTATTTGAAGATTTCTGCTTACATTCACTCATATCACTCATATTTTCTGGTTTCAAATGCTTGGAGGCTTTAAGTCTAACAATAGTTTTTTTATCTTTTATTTTTTTTAATAATTTCCAAAGTACAAACACATATAATTGCTGTTGTGTTATGATGTGGAGGGACTGTTTTTTCACCAAATGTTAGTTACACTCTTACCTTTTACTTCATTTTAATTATAATTTCCATGGAATTATGAAATAAACTAAGTAAAAACAATGTACAATGCAAAAGTCTTTGTGCTTTCATTTTACTTAAGATATATGAAATTATAAACTATGTACAGCACAACTGAAAGTACAAATTCTCATTTGAGAAAAAAATATTTTTAATACTTCTCAACCTCTTAATTATGGAATTATCTTAAATTGTATATTTAAGTCTCACATACTATGTGTTCAAAGGCTTTCTTGACTCAGGATAAAATTATAAAGTTTGATTCTCTCTTTTTATTGATACAAAACAAAGGTTTAGTATTACATCAAATTAGAGGAACACAGTCGGTGGATCAGCAAGCCAAGTAAGAATCAGTACTTAATGAGCTGTGCCTTCTTGATCTTGACGATCAACTTTGCACCTATCAAAACTCATAACTCTGGGCTTAACATTTGCTAAAAACAGATAGATTCAAAATAGTACATAACTCTTGCCACCCAAGTGTTATTTCTTGGGAGATAAAGTGACTTTGTGACTATTAGCATTAAAAAAGTTACTTTCTCTTGGTTCTTTCTGTTCACTTCCCTTTAAAAAGCAGAATTGTTTCACCGTAAGCTGCTCAGATCATTTGATTAGTGATATAAATCTCTATATCCCACTTCTGTGCAAAGCAACCTTTTAAAATCCATTCACTCTAGCACATGCAGAAGGGGGATAAAATGCATTTTTCTCAAGGAATAGTGCAAGGAGTCTTTGTGTAGCTTGTAATGGAGGAATATATTTGATGAAGGGGCCACCATGACAGGTCATGTCCACAGGAAGCGATCTAAGACACGAGAACTGTAGTTCAGTCGGGTTTCTTCAGTTTAGTGCCAGTGACGTTTTTTTTCCCATTTGAGTCAACAGACTTTAGGGGCTTGGTGGCTGTTGGCACATAATACCAGCCTTTGAAATACTGATTGCTCAGCCAAAGTTAACAGAAACAGCTGCAAAACAAGATGTCATTATCTCTGGGTTTTGCACGGAGAGCTACAAGTGCACTGCCATCTGCAAAGAGCGGTTCTTTAATAAGGGGAATTCTGAAGCCTTTGTTTCTGTATACGAAAAGACAAATTACAGGCATTGCTTGGGGAAATCTGGAACTGGACTCTCAAAAACAGGCTCCAAGTTTGTTCAGTTTATTACTGCTGCAAAAATGAATCTTTGTAACACTAAAATGCTGCAGTTCTATGCACCTTTGCAATTCATCTTTTATCCAAACAATCAACTTCTTCAACTTAAGTGCTTGTGGCAAGAAGGAGAAGCTGGGACTATTTAATTCTTTGAACTTGAATAGTATCAAAAAGCATTAGAAACCATGGTGGTGGTGGTTCATGGCTGTAAAAAATCCTGGTGTTGCATGGGCATGCATAAGAAAGATCCAAGTTAGTATTTTGCATGTGGCAATCCATACTTATCCAGTCACCTCTGTCATTACAACGCATTTTTCCAGTTCATTGCCTAGCTAACAGGACCCATGCAAGCTGTTGTAATACTGCTTTTTACAGAGAAAAAAAAAATATACTATCAGAGGCTCTGACACATTTTAAATAATACATTTTGTGTCACACTGAACCTATGCTGAGGAAATGAAATAAGGTCATGAATTTCTGATTAATTTTAAGCTTCTAATAATGATTTAATTACAGCCAGTGATTTTTCTTAAGTTGAAGTGGTGCAAAGACTATAGAATGTAATCTTGAAGAGTTCACAACCATGACAAATAATAAATATTCTGTATTGTACAGGTAAAACATGAAATTCACTGAAGGTATACTGTTAACCAATAATCATCAGGATTTCCATTAAAGTAATAAGAGTCTTGATGTCAAGGATCACAAAGCTGGTGTATTTTACTAACTTTCTACTTTTTATTTACATGCAAACTTTGTACTAGAAAGCCTTCTTGTGTACACAGTGTTCTACATTTTTAGAAGTTCTTCTATAATGCACTGCTCCATTCATCCTATTTGTCTAAAAAGTCAGTGACAATTCATTGGAAAATCAACAACAGATTTTAATTGAAAAAGCAGTGAATAGATGGTAATTGGAAAATTGTTTGGGTTAAGAAATGCAAAGAAGCATGCAACAAGAGACAGGAGCTAGGGAGAAAAGATAGACAGGTCTGGAAAAAAAAGTCACTGAACACATGGGTCTATAATAGGCACAAGGATTAGCCAGTGGTCTGAACAGAGTGGCTGAACAGCTTTTGAAGTTAAGTGTTTTTATAAACAGGAGTTTAAAGAACAACAAGGAATGGGTTCAGGGCAGAAATCTATAGCAAATTGGAATGGCTATGGGGAATATATTAAAAGAGTTACAGAAAGCTGAAATCTTTTATTCATTTAAATAATTGAAACATGGGTTTTCTAATATGAAATTTTAAAATTGAGATACTTATTTTTTTCTGGTATGTGGATAAAATCATTTCATTTATTTGTATGCATTATTCACTCACCCTTTAGGTTGAGTTTCTGAATTTCCTATAAATGAAAATCTATAGGAGAAGACACCTGCTTTGAATTGAAAGAATTTGAAAGAATTTCATAGCTTTTGTCAGAACAAAACTGTTGTCCCAACATTAAGCAGGCTCTGAAGGCTTACCACCTTCAATATGAAGTCAACAAACTTCAATATATGAGCTGTAAGTTAAACAAGGCTCAGGAATATTTCCTAAAAAGGTGGCTTTTCTGAACAGTGTTTTCTAGCACTGGGCAGCACATCTATCTGTGATGCTCTGAATTTTTGACAGCAAGGCATGCTCTTTTCTGAATGTCTCCCAGGGTCTGTATTCTCTTCAGCCCACAGCAGAAGAAGCTGAAGGGCCTACAGCTTCTCTCAGGGCAGTGCTGAGCTCTGCTCTGTGTGACAGCAACAGGACCGGAGGGAATGGCATGGAGCTGTGTCAGGGGAGGGACAGCTGGGGGTTAGGGAAGGGGTTCTTCACCAGAGGGAGTGGGCATGGAACAGGCTGCCCAGAGCAGTGCGCATGTCCCTAAGTGCCAGAGTTCAAGAAGTCTTTGACACTACCCTCAGATTTGGATTTTGGATGGTCCTATGTGGAGCCAGGAGATAGACTCAATAATCATTATGGATCCCTTCCACCTTGGGATATTCTATGACTTTTTCTGAAGGATCAGAAAACCAAATCTACATTTGCTATATTCTAGACAGGTGGGATAATCTACTTCGACCTGGGGTGTGAACTGCCTAAAGACAAGGAAGTTTTAACTTCCGTTTAACTCTCTGTGAACAGTGAAGATGAGTTAGAAGCACATTCAAAACATTTAACACTTCCTAATTCTTATTATTTTTTTTAATAAAAGAAGACTCTTCACAGCATTACTTCTAAGAAAACAGAATGTGAGAAAAATTTCCACAAACACTTCCAAATTGCCATTCACTTGGTTGTTTATTGTCAAGTTACACCAACATCCTTATATGGAGTGGTCTGATTATCCAAGGGCAAGACTCTATGTGCGGGCAGAATTTTATCAAGACAATTGGCACAGTTGGGAAAAAAAAAATCAGGCCCTAAAGGTCTTCTTCAAGCAATAAAGAAAAACTTAAAAGCAAAACTAAATATCCATTGCTCTTACTTCTGTTATATTTAATTGGCTGAACAACTCAAGAGAAGGCTGTAGATAGACCAGGCACAGAGGAGTCTATTTGCCAGGAGACAAGCTATGAGCACCTGTAAGCTACAGAAGAGACAGAATGAAAAAAATTAACTCTGGGAACTTGAAGAGATGGAAACATAAGGTAAGTGTCTTCACTTAACAAACTTAACCACCTTTGGTATCAAGTGGAGTTATCCCTTCCAGTTCTTGGACCTCATTACCATGAGAATCAGGATAGAAGCAAATAGAAGTGATGGTTTCCCCTCTGGACTGCTCCCAGTCCTTTTAATTTCAGCCCTACTATACACGCAGTTCTGGGCTCAGGTCCTGAAGCACTCTGTTTTGAGATCTCGATGGGATACACATTCGTCTAGATCAGTGTTGTAAAGAGAATTAATAGGGGTTGACAGCAAGGTGTGCTACCACCTTAATCCAACCCTTAGCCTTCCTGTAGCGCCTTGCAAGATTGCTTTGGCCAGGTGGTAAACGCAGCAATGCATTATCTCTTGAGATATTAACATTTCTGGATTCGTATTGTGATTTGACAGGATCCAGATGCCAAATAAAAACCCAACGCTGTTGCCTTGAGGCGTATCAGGCTCCAGATTTGTAAGGTGTAAAAGGGAGGCTAAATCACGCTCTCTGTTGAGCAAAAATTTGGTAAGTTGATTTTGGAAAGCAAGGAAAAAAATAAGTGGCAATGTCTGGCAGGATTCGGGATTTGCAGCCGGATTTTCACAACACCCTGCTCTTGATTCGTGCGGTCGCCACTGACAGATCCATGTCGGTTCTTTAATCAGGCGTTGTGCTTCAGGTGCCTGACATCCAAAAGTTATTCAGGCACTACAGCGCTGCACTCTTCTCGCCTATACTACAAGACTTGGACAGCATTCTATAAACCTTTGTCCATATTTGTTTTTCCCCTGTTTGGAAACATCAACGTGGGACAAGAGCTAAGACTGAGCGGGAGCGCAGAGGGACCGGGCCGTGACTCACCCTCCGGGGCCGAACGGGGAAACTCCCGCTGCCGCCGGGCTGCGGTGGCAGAGCGCATGTGCGGAGGTTCCCAGCCTCCGCTCCTCGCACCCTCCCCTGCCTGCCTGCCTCTCTCCCGCCCTTCCTCCCTCCAGCCGCCCTCCTCCCTGCCCGCCGCCGTCTCCGCTCCGTGCCGGCTGTGGGTGCTGAAGTTGGGCGGATGGCAACAGCCCTGCTCCGCTAGAGACGAACCGCCGCAGCCCTTCTCGGGATCGCTGAGCGCCAACTGCACGCAGCCGGGCGGGGGTGGGTAAGGCGCTCCGCTTGTGTTTGAGCCCGCACCGCGTTGAAATGGCATCAAAATGTCTGCTTTGGAGTGATGCTCGGAGCGGGGGGAAAAGAAAAAAGAGGAAAGAAAAGAAAACAAGACAACAAAACGCAGGGGGGAGGGAGGGGGGGTTAATAGGAAAAGAAGAGAGGGAGGCGGGAGAGAGGGAGGGAAAGAGGATGGATGGAGGGCGGCGGAGTGCAGCCGAAAATGCGTTCAGCGAGGGGACCGGCTGTATGTCAGTGTGAGTGTGCGTATGTGTGTGCAACAACGGGCGGCTGCAGCGCTGAGGCTGCAAGGTGGTGTTTCTATGTGTGTGTGTGTGCGTGTGTGCGCGGCTCCGTGCCCGCGGTGCACAAAGGGGTGGGGAACCGTACCCGCCGGCTCTGCCCGCTCCCTCCTCCGCAGCCCCCTGCCTGTGTCCGGGGTGCCGCGGGGATCTGCCGGGCGATGCCGCGGGGATGCGCCGCGCCGGGCGATGCCGCCCAGCGCGGGCGGGGGGAGCGGGCCGCCCCCGGGAAAGCCGTGGGCACGCGCTGGCGGGGTGACAGCCGCCGGCTCGCGGTGAGGCAGCGCTCCTCCTGCCTTTCCTCTTGCTTGACCTTCCCTCTTGTAAAGCGGGTCTACTTGGCGGGAGGAGGGTGGGGAAGGAGGGAATGATTATTTCTGTTAGTGCAATTAATATTTCAATCCGAGGAGCCGGTGTGAGGCTGCTCTGAACACAAGAGCTTGCTTTCCTACCCCTCCTTCTCCCCAGTCTCGCACTGGGGAGCCCCCGCCGCCGCCCTTCGGGGCCGCACCGCCCTCCGCGGCACCCGGGCGGCACCCGCCGCCCCCGCCCGCTCTGCCCTGCGGCATCGCCATCCGCCGGCCCCGGCCTCCTTCCTCCCCGGGAAATGTCGGAGGGCGGGGGCGGCACGGCGGCAGGAGCAGGTGGCGGGCGCGGCCGGCGGGGCAGGAGCTGCTCCCGGTGCTGGCACCGGCACAGCGCACGGCGGCGCGGGGCTTCCCTGCGCCCGGGGAAACACCGGCTGCCGGCGGGGCGGGGGATGCTGCCGCCCTTCTAGCCGCCGAAAGCCGCTGTGTGCTGCTGCTGCCGCTGCTCCCGCGGCTCCTCACTTCTCCCCGGGATGAAAGCACCCGCAGTTAAGAAGGCTGAGGTTACCTCGCTTGCTCGTCTGTCAAGGCTGTGTTGCACAATTCATAGCTGCCTCTTGTTGATTCCTAGGGAAACCCTACCCACACTGCCTGACTGAGAACTGTCAGAGGCATTTAGGATTTTCAATATTTGGGGTCCTTGATTCTGTATCACTGATGCATGGTATAGGTTTGCAGCTTTTGCAAAATGGATGAAATCTCAAACACCCTGCTAGGTAAATGTGAATGAGCTGTATATCGTTTGGCAATGCTATTGTAGGTAACAGGTGATAAATAGCTTTCCACAAATGTAATATATACATGCATTGCAAATTTTGGGAGTTCTTTAAAGGAAAATAATCCCCATTCAAATCAGTGGATGCGAGTGTCACCGTCCTGACGTAAATCACCGGAGAATCTTCCTGAGACCCAAGCCAGTTAGGCAAACAAATTATTTGACCTTTATAAAGAGATGGTATTACTGTTATCCCTGATATCAAATATTTATTTTAATTTGATTCTGTACTCATAATAAGCAGAGTCCTAATAAAAGATGCACATGCTCCACCCCAGTAAGTTTGCATAGCTGAAGGCTATGAGAGGTGCAAGTATTTACCTCTGTAAAATACGTGAGAGTCAGACAGTGAATGCTTTTCTCAATCAAGGCCTTAGATCCTTCCAAGTAGCCAAAATAGGAAAATAATTTGATTAAAAGCATACGATCAAATGAATTGCAGTAGTGAGTTGCACATTCAGTCCAATATCCTGGCTCTGACTGCGGTCATTAGCAGATACCGAAGGGAGAAAAGCATAAGAAACAGAACTGGTATGCAGTGATTCTTTTTCCTACTATGCTTTCAAGTTCAAGCAAACTGTAGTGCAGGGATTTCTTAAACTGGAGCTTGCTTCCAGACCGTCATATTTAATAAGCCCCTGACTTTCTCTACTCCCTTTTCTTAATCCATTTATACTTTGGTCTCAACCACATTCTGTGGCAGTGTGTGCCACAATTTAATTATGATTTGTGTGAAAAAGTACTTCCTTTTGTTTGCCATGAACCTGCCGTCAGATAATTTCATTAGGTGCTCTTTAGCCTTCATATATGACAAAGGCACGCCCTGTGCCTGAGCAGGTGCTGGCAGTGTCCTCACAGCAGTGCAGGTCCTGCACTGGCAGTTTGGGTCCCTTCACTTTGTCTAAAACTAATTGAGAAGAGCTGCCTGGGACTCTAAGGCCATCTCAAACCCTTGGTCTTTCTGTTGAAATATATAGACAAGAATAGTCTTTCTTGTTATTCCAGGTGGACATTTACAAACAAAAAATTGTCCCAAACCCATGAACTCATTTCAAAGAGGCACTGAAAAGCAGTCTGCTGAAAATTAACTCCCTCACTGTTGATTGAAAATGAAGTCTGATTAACAGCAAAAATTTCCATCCTAATCATCTCTCCTTACCACGAACAGAAGATAAAATGTTTTATTTTCAAACTACAGCATTTTTCAAGAAGTATATACTGAACATAAAATGGAAGCTGCATGTGAAGGGGAATGATATGTATCCATGAACTCTGCACACTGGGATTAGCATCACTAGTAATTCCTTTGCATAAAGTTCATTTTATGTGAGTGTGTGTATTGAACGGTGGGCATAGTTTCAAAAGTAAAGTTTAAATCTCCCATAAAGTTGAATTGATTTGGAACAGTTGGATTGATGTGGCACAAGGAGTGCTTCTGAGGTTGAATCATGCCTAGGGAGCATCGGTATTGATGAAATTGTTGTAATAGAGAGTTTCCCTGACCTCACTGCTAGGCCACACTTGAGTCCATCACAAGAGTAATATAAGAGACTAGAGAGTTACAGAAGCACAACTTGGACCCAAAGATCCAGAAACCAGCCATGGGCACAACTTGGAACAATCCACAGCAAATTGTGGTCAGGTGGAGAACAGTAGAAACTCACATAATTTGAGAAATCTTTCACAAACAAAAACAAAAACAAAAAACACTGGTGGCCTCAGGTGCTGTAATCCCAACAGTTTGAAGGAAGAAGGGACCAGGTGGCATTGTTACAAAGACAGTATAGAAGGGATGTCAGTCTGACTCTAGCCAATCTTAAATGATGTATGAGAATGGTTTTCCACTAATAAATGGCATATAGGTGTTTGTACATTTATGCATGCATATATAAGTAGCAAACATATATATGTATATAAACTTTCTATCGTTAAAAAATGCATAAGCTTGAAAAAAGATTGCAGCAAGATTAACGAGATTAGACCTTTTTCTACTCCTGTATTGAGTGAATGAAACCACTTTCTTGTATGCTTCACACACGTCTTTAAAAACTTAGCATATGGGGATTCCTGTGGGTACTCACAAGGTCTAGTATATAAAGATGTATCAGCTCTTACAGAGGTATTGGTTGCAGTTCCATTAGCTCTCTTCTGATCACATCTCCATGCTGTCAGCTATGGATTTATTTTGCACTCATACCAGTGTTTCAAGTTTGGTGTTCTTAATGAAAAATACATCCTCACCGTATTTTGTAGCGCTTGCTCTGTGAATATATAAAAAATTCTCTAAGAACATAAAATTAATGTGACAATTAGCTTGGCTTAAAATTAGTTGAAAATGAAATTTAGCATTTCTATTGACCTCTTGTTTGTCCTAAGTGGTCCTGGTAATGAAATAATGTGATCAGACTTTCCATATTGTTAATTAATTAAAAGCTTGTGCATAGGGTATAAAAACAAATGAATAGATTAAGTCATAATTAAGTTTATCTATTTATGGTTATAGCTAATGGCTATAATGATGCAGGCTGTAAGCAGGCCTGTGTGAGTGGCTTTGCAGGCTCCTGAGGGGTGCTACTCCTCTCCCAAGGTATGGAGCCTGTCAGCTCTGCACTGCAGCAGGTGCTGCCAAGTGGGACTGAGCCATGGGGCTGTGTGAAAGCCAATCCCATGGGCAGGCTATTGCTTCAGAGACCTCTTGCCCGATAAAAGTGGGTGTCTCTACCTGAAGTTGAATATCTGCTTTGAGAAGGTTTCCCTTGGCACTGCTGCTGCTTCTAATGTGCACAAAGGAAGCAGCCATGCAGTGTAACTGTGGCAGGGACCTACGAGAACACTTAAAGTACACAACCAATGATCTCATGGTCTGGACTGCTGCTCCTGCCAAACCACCACAAACCCGGGCCGTGGCTAACAGGGGTCCCCTAAGCCAAAGTAGGGGCTGGGCATGCTGTTGTGCTTCAGCATCTTTGCACTGCTCTGGTGATGCAAAATAGATGAAAATCCAATTTAAATGACTGATGTGCTTTGAGTAATTTGTGCTCTTGTACTATATTAATTAATCTCAGCTTAATTTTTTTTAAATATAGGATAAATCAAAGTGACACAAACTGATTTAATACTGAATCTATAATATCTTTACGTTTTTAGTGCTAGCTTTGTCTTTAGTCTCCTTGTTTATAAAATGTGGGTAAAATGCTTTGTATTTTTCATACAATCTCAATTTTCATACATTATTTATTTTGTAAGCAAATGGCAACGAGTTCTTAGAAATCATAAAATTTCTGGACAAAATGTATGTAGGCAATTTGCAGGTAGGGAAGTGGAATAGAAATAAAATGTTAAGAAAATCTTAAATCCTAACGCCAAGCATTAGATACTGCAAATTACACTTAAAAACACTCAGACATTTTAAAGATGACTGCTGCATAATCCTCCATACAGAAATACAAAATAACTTGCCTAGTTTCATCAGTGAGAAAGAAAGTAAATTAGAGAGTGATGCATTAACAAAGCTATGCAGCTTCTGCTACCAAAGCAGCTTCCTGTAAAG